TACTTGCTCGGCAAGAAATTTTGCCTGTTGACTGACAACTGGACCGTTGCATGCTTAACAGCCAACATCAGGCCTTCACGTCGTTTTACGACCATGTTGATGGATCTTACAGAGTTCGACTTCACTGTGCAGCACCATCCAGGCCGTCAAAACGTGGTTGCTGACATGCTGTCACGATTATCTGCAGCAGTCCTCCATCAGACACAGTCTCTCGCAGCTATGCAAGCAGAAGACAAAGAGTGCCAGGACCTTCGTCGCTCTCTGTCATCTTCAGAATCGTGGGACCATGACCTTGCCATAATTGATGACATCCTGTACCATAGTGACGCGACTTCAGGTTCTCAAGCTATTGTAGTGCCAGCAAAGATGCGCCAGGCTGTCCTGGAGGTTGTTCATGACGGTGGAGGCCACATGGATGTAACCCGGACACTGACCAAAGTGAGAGAACGTTACTGGTGGCCAAACCTTACGTCTTCAGTGACCCACTACGTCACAGCATGCCAGATCTGCCAAAGCAACAACCGCCCAATATCTAAAAGTGTTGGCAAAATGGGTCTCATGCCAGTGTCGGATGTTCCTTTTGCCTTAATTGCCATTGATCACATCACAATGCCGGCTGCTTCAGGAAAGAAGTACATTTTGAATGTCATTGACTTTGCCACGCGTTTCATTGTCCCAGCGGCTGTAACTTCAACATCAGCTAAGGAAGTTATAGCACATTTACAGTCGGTGTTCTTCCGCTTTGGTTGTCCTGATGACTGCATGTCTGACCATGGAGCAGCCTTTGAATCTCACCAGTTTAAGCACTTCATGCACATGCACGGTGCTGAGATTCATTATTCAGTGGCATACCGCGCAGCCAGCAATGGTCTTGTAGAGAGAAGCAATGGGACTTTAGTCTCCGTTCTTCGTAAGCTGTGTCCAACGGACCAGACCTCCTGGGCAAGCAAACTCGAAGAAGCTGCTTTTGCCATCAACACAAGCTATAGCGCCAGCAGCTGTTTCTCTCCATTTGAACTACTGTATGGATACGTCCCCAAGCTCCCATATCAACGCCACCGTCCCGCCACAGCCAGGACCCTACAAGACCGTCTCCTAATGCTGTCTCAGAACCGGGCCGTAGCAGCAGGTAATACCGAGGAAGCACAAGGGAAACGGAAGACAGCATATGATCAGTCCCATCGAGACCACTCCTTCCAAGTCGGCCAGTTCGTCTGGGTGCGCCGCCAAGAGCCTGTAGCAGATGGAACTGGAAAGTTGGCACCCAAATTCAAGGGAATATACCAAATCACCAACCAGAAAACACCCGTTACGTTTGTCGTTAGCCGCGTAACTGGTCAAGGTCCTCGTGATCGACTCCAAGACAGGATAGTGCACGTCTCTCAACTCAAGCACTACGTGCCACCTTATGTCGAGCCTTACATTGTGAAAACCCAAGAGTGGCCTTTGTGTGACTTATCTGGCTCTCCCAGTGTTGGCAATGAGTTATCTCAACCACCAGCTTCCCTTGGCCCTGCAGTTTTGCCTCCAGCGGTACCCTCCTCGCGACCTCACCGCCAAAAGCGCCCACCCGAGCGCTTGAAGGACTATTCTCTCTCGCAGTGAAGCCACCAAGTAGTGCTCCTTTCCTAGACCAATGGGACTTGGTCAGACAAGGAGGGGCCGGATGTGAGCGCCCGCATGCGCACTATAGCGTAGCGGCCTATCTAATCGGCAGCGCCACCTGCGGCGCCTTTACTCAGATAAACTCCAAGCCCAAGCGAGGGCCGGGGACACGTTTTTATCAATCTCGCTCCCGCCTCCGGCGCGGTCGGCACGTTTTCATGTTCGAATAAAGCGCATTCTTCTCGTTCACAACGCCTCTCAGCCTTCATGCCTAGCCCGCCCAGCCCTCACAAATGTGCTCTGCGACGGTGACAGCCGTACGTACCTTGCCCTCACGCAAGACAAGGTGTATGGCTACATGTTGATTAAGAAACAGGAGTGTGTGAACCATGTGAAAAAAAGAATGGGCACTTCCTTGCGCAACCTTCTTGATGAGCACAAATCCAAAGGCCGAGGGCTGAGCATGGGTGGCAAAGGCCGGCTGACGCAGGGCCTTATAAAGAAGTTGACAAATTATTATGGCTGGGCCATTAAGAGCCACCCCAACGATGTTCCTGGCATGGAGAGGGCCATCATGGCCACTTATTACCATGTAACATCCACAGACCAGGATCCACACCACGACCTGTGCCCAAGTGGGACTGACTCCTGGTGCCCGCACAATCAGGCATTGGCCAAGGGAGAGCCGCTGCCGCCTCACAAACATAAACTGCCCCCTCACGTGCGAGTGGCACTGCTGCCAATCTACAAGCGCCTCTCGAACAAAGAGCTCCTTGAAAGGTGTGCGCAGGGAAAAACCCAGAACGCTGTGGAGAGTATGAACAGCCTCATTTGGTCACTCCAGTCCAAGAGCCAGTTCGCCTCCCTTCGAAGTGTGGAAAGTGCAGTTGCAGATGCAGTCTGCCGTTTCAATGGTGGCTGCAAGAGTGCGCTGCAAGAGATCACTGCTCAACTGGGCTTCAATCCAGGAGACTGCTCTTTGCGGCGAGCAGCCGAAAAGGATGCCAAAAGGGTGAAGAGGGCTCAAAAGACGCATTGTTCCACGACAAAGAAGCGCAAAACTGGGTTGCGCTCTACAGAGGCCAAGGCCACAGCATCTCAGGATTACTGCCCAGGAGGATTCTGAGTGTTTTAGGCATGTTGTGAACTTCCAAACAAGAGTGAACTTTCAAAGTCAGTTTTCTCAACTCTTGATTTTCGCCTATGTGCCTTCGCTAGAACATCTGTCATTTTTTAACAAAGACTGATAGAGTCGTTCCGTTTTTTGCACTAGGCTCAGGAGGCCTTTAGCAGTGCAATAAAGCTTTATCTCTCTTCTTACTCATCATTTAAAATTTTTAGAACACATTTTATAATTACTGCGATGTGTGCGCAAAACAACATCCATGTTTTGGAAATTTTATTTATGGTTACAAGAACTAGAAAAATCAACTAATAGCTTCTTTGCACAAGTTGATGCTTTGGGAACATAATAATATGAAAAAATAATTTCATTTAGCAATAATTATCTCTTTAAGTGCGAAGAGCATTAATTAGTATAATTATGCTTGTAACTCAAAAAGTACAAGAGGTATTTGAAAACGGTTTTCATATTTGGAATCCTCACAATCATCCACATACACACACCAAATTTCATCACAAACAGTACATTAATAAAAAAATTAGTTTTACTTGCCACGTCCCCCCTTAAATTCAAGAAACTTTGCATTAAAATTGCAGCCTAAGTGCACAGTTTTTTACAGCAGATTTCAGAAATGATTTCACTTCAGCTAAATTAAACATGCAACAAGGTTTGTTTATTGCAAGGAATAGTCATGCAATATTAGATTCAATGGGTCATTTCAGCCATTATTGGGATCTGCTTTAAATAGAAAGGGAAAATTTAAAAATGGGTGCAATCAGACAAAGATATTAGTGCAAGGTGCTAGTTCGGGCAACATGATAGTCAGAAAGTGTATGCCACAAGTGGGGGTGCAAAAAAAAAAAAGTCTCTGCTTTGTGGAGCACGATGTTAATCTAAGGGAACAGCTGGGTCGCAGTGTGCGCTATTCTCAATACAGAACCACAGTAAAGGTCGCTGATGAAAAATCAAGGTGCAAATATGTGCTAGGAGCCCGTGTACACAGAAGGGGCCATTTTCTTGGGCCAACGTATTGCTGACACTCTGGTTACGATGCACACGGCATATTTTAAATTCTAAACTAAACTGAGAACTATATTCAAAAGTGATTATAAGCACCAACTTTTTTTTTATATAAAATATCTTGTGCTACGCTGAAAAAAAATTAACCATTCTTTATAATTCTGAATTAAGTAGCTACATTAAAAACATCCTTTGGTTAAAATACCACCCTCCATAGAGAGCATGCTTCCAAGACGAGTTCTCTAGATATTAAGACAATTCCCTACACATTGAGACCAAGCAATCATTCTTCAAAATGAGCACACTCGCCAATTTGCTACAGAATGATACTGAGACAAAGAACCCTGGAGAGAAGGAACCCTGGGAGAAGTCATCTACGGAAGAAATTGGAAAAAGCAGCAAAAAATGCGAAAAACAGCAAGAAATGTAGGCCGCCAAGTGATTTTACACAGGCACATGCCACACGTCACAGTGAGTTGTGAAGGGAGGCGTTGCCTGATGGAGGCCTTTCCTTTGCCACACCATGACTCGCCAGACACCCCAAAAAAAAACACCAGCAAGCTGGCAGAGGATCCTGGGCAGCGAGGCAGAACACCCGTGCATGCCCAAGGACCACTGGAGGTCAGCTTATGGGGCGTGGTTAACGACAGTTGACTGGACTACCCAGTAAGAGCATTTTCACAAGGCAGATTTTCACAGAGCATTTTCACAAGGCAACTGTCACTGCTAAGTGACAGTTGACCCCCTAAAAAGAAAGATCGGGCTAGTCGGGTGCATACGGCACGCATATTTTGGCTAGCCAGTGAAATTATTACAGGATTTTAGATATGAGAGATTATTTTTAGCGAGTACCTTGTGGAAACTTTCATGCACCGAATATGTGATCTGCTAAAGCTTTAAAACCGCTTAGCATTGGTTGCGCATGAGGCTGCGGCAAGAAAGCTAGAGCAGATCTGATTATTCACGCAAATTTTGGCACCCACCCTACTGCTACTTACGTTCACTAGTCCCTCAAAATAGAAGGCAACTAATACAGTCAAACCCCTTCATAAAAGACAAATGGATATATGAGATCAGTGTGCCTACACTGAAATAGAGGTTCATAAGAAAATGCCAACATGGTACCCTTGTACCCTTCTTACAAGAGACACCTCATATAAAAGACTAGAATTGCTGCACAGTACATGCCTCTTTATAAAGAACTGTAGAAATTATATATCAAGAGACGGGTCGCTACAATGCTGGCACTGACCTGTGCTCCTTTTGCAGCGGCAGAGTCAAGCTCCTTGCCAATCGTGATGAGGAGCTTGCAGAGGCACTCCAGGGAGTCCTCATCATTTGAGTTAATTAGCCGCCGTAGGCAGTCGAACATGATGGGCGCCGTCAGCATGTTCAAATTGTAAAGTTCTCCTATAAAGCGAATGTTGCCTAGAGAGCGCCGTTTGGACCTCTTCTCGTCGTCGAGGAGCTCCTCTGTGAGTTTGGCCTTTTCTTCCTCACTGGTGGCCTCCTCAATCTTTTTGAGCCTCTCCGCCTTGCGGATATCGTCGCTGGTGTCCTTCTCGAACTCCTTCTGGCACTTGAGCAGCAGCAGCTTACGGAAGTTCACCATCCGCCCCTCGGGGTCATTGGCGATCGGCACCTCGAACATGGCCAGGTGCTTGCACATGTTCGCATACGGCACACTGAAATTTGGCTCATCCAGGGCCTTCTCGAAGACCAGGTCGATGACCTTGTTGAGGCGCTCCTCAGAGTTGATCTCGAGGTTGCGCACCTGCTCAACCAGCGACTGGAACTTCTGGGGTGTCAGCTTGTTGAGAATGCCCCGGACCCGCCGGTACAGCTCCTGCAAAAAGATCGAGCCAGGAGTTTGAGCAGGCCTCTCTGATCTGCCATGCCTACTCAGACTACTGGCAAAGGACACAGCAATGGACAATTGTAATAAAATTTCTGCCCATTATCCTGGCAGCTTTAGTTGAGTCCATGCTATACAATGCGCGGCCTGCCACTCCACTGCATAGGAACCCCCTACCAATGACAACCTCATATGTGCTGCACTAACCAGAAGACAGTCAAATTCATTAATAACTGCTTTTCTCAAAACAATAGCACAGACACACAAAGCCAAGCCTTACTGCAAGAAGTGGAGAAAGCATGGAAAACCAAAGCTCTTGAAAGGTCAAGCACCTAGATGGTGTGTGTACCATAACCTGCTAATAACGAACCTCCATATAACAAAGTTTTTCTATTCCCTCCCCCCTCCCCACATTACTACACAGAAGCGCATGTAGTCAAACTTCGTTATAATGAAGTTGAAGGGGGAGTCATAATTACTTCTATATAACAATTCGTTTGTTACAGCCAATATCCATTTCTACCAGTAATTAACCAGCAAGAGAGAATGTACACACAGACGAAAATCACAGCAGCCCGCCGCAAAGAGAAAAACGGCCGCCGGAAGGCAAAAAACAACAAAACAGAACAATGCACTTTATTTCCACCAAATTCAGCACACCAGCTGGCAGATCATTTTGAAGAAAACGAGTCCTAAATATTATCACTTTGCCGACTCTTCCGCACGCGGATGAATACTTTATCAGCTGCAGCAGCTTTTTCAAGTCCGTTTTTCTATTTCCAGACAGCTAAGTTCAGGTTAACGAAAAAGAAAAAAAAGAAAAACAACCCAAAATTGCCAAACGACATTTATTTGGGAATAGGGAGCACCGCACTCCGATCGTCGGAGCTCCCCTCAACCACCATCGCGACTGTTCCTATTCGTCAGACGAAGCACCACTGTCTTCTGAAGACGAGAAGTGTCGCTGGCTGCCTCCCACAGTGCGTTGTCTTCCGTGCCATACAGCAAGTTCAGCAAGGTCCGTTTTTCCATCACCCAGTGCTCGCTTCACAGCGTTTGTTAAGTGACCACAAAACGCATCTAACTAAAGCATGCTGCAAAGACATAGCTGCACCTAGCCGACGGTTCCAGACTACTCGTATCCATTCGAGCATGTATCCCTTTTTGTTAACGCGAACAACTAAAAATGAAACAATGTCAAGCAGAGCGAGAACTTAGAACAGATTGGAGGCAAATCACGAACAAAAACAACCATCACGAACACACACACAAAAAAAACCTGCTATTGGATTTGAAGGCACATATGGCCATGTCCAGCTTCTCATGCAAGCCACGTGTTGCCAGACAGCGGTGCACTGTCGACTAGACACCGACGGTTCCAGACTACTCGTATCCATTTCGTGCATGTATCCCTTTTTGTTAACGCGAACAACACCGGACAGGAACACAAGGGGGAAAGCTTTCTACCATCTGCCATGCATGCTAGCACGACGGTTAAGCGTGAGTGCTCATCGCCAGTGGACAAAAGCTTTATCATGCCCCATCATGCAGTTGTTCTGCTCCCGAAGCCGGTTCACAAAGCCCTGAAAGTTTACAAGCTTGTCCTCGAGTTCGTCTGGAAACTTTTGACAGATGGATGTGTGCCACCGGAAAGAAAATTCTTTGCATCTCATGAATCGATGCACCCAAGAGTTTGGTGCACGAAATTCTCTCGCGAGTCCAACTTCTCGAGCGAGTTCTACAGCTTTCTTGTGAATGATGTCCATGGTCACTGGCAGCGAGCACGCATGAACTTCCCACACAAAGTTCCCTAGCGTATTCTCCAGCTGCGGATGAACCGCACTTCGCCCACGAAATGACATTTTCCGAGGAGTGCACATCTGCAGCTTCCCTTTCTGCACCCTCCAATGGCACACGCTTTTTTCTGATACACCAAAGCGGCGCTGAGCAGCCACATTCCCATCCGCTTCTGGGAACTCAACAAACTAGTTTAAACACAGCTGAGTACTGCGTTCTTGTACCGCTACTCATATTCAGTGAACGAAAAAAAGACCACTAAAAATGAAACAATGTCAAGCAGAGCGAGAACTTAGAACAGATTGGAGGCAAATCACGAACAAAAACAACCATCACGAACACACACACAAAAAAAACCTGCTATTGGATTTGAAGGCACATATGGCCATGTCCAGCTTCTCATGCAAGCCACATGCTGCCAGACAGCGGTGCACTGTCGACTAGACACCGCTATATAAGACGAGGGGCGACTTTAGCTCGTTTTATTGATAATATCTACTTATATTTCGGTTTATACAGTATACCAAAATGGTCAGCAAATTATCATTGCAGATGAGGTATTGTTCGTTATATCCATTGTGAGGAAATTTTTGCTTCATTAAAATGAGGTTTTATATACATGGGTTTTTGAATTTCAAGAGGAATTGCAATTGCTTCATTGTATCCATTAGTTTGTAATATCCCGCTTCATTTTAACAAGGTCTTACTGTATTTGTGGCCTCTATGCAACAATATAACAGTGAGATAAATTTTTACCACTGAATGTGCCAAATTAGGCGCCGATGGAAACTCTTAGAGAAACACGGTGACGAGGACTAATCTTAGGAGGCCCACCCATCACGCACTTTCGCCTTATGCCGCGAGTTCGCGGGACCGTAGCCTCGGCGATTACTCAATTAGCTCTGGCAACAACATGACAGCACTTTGAATGCAATGCTGTGAATGCGACGTTGATATGTGGAGTTTAATATCCCAAAGCCAGATGAATGCGATAACAACTAAATTGTATTGTTATATGAAGAAAAACTAGCAGCCAATTCTTGGGTCCGGTATCGCAAGTTCCTACAAAACGCAGGTGTAAGCAAATAGTGTTGCTCCAGAGAGCAAGTGCCCTTTTCACAGTTTCCTTGTGTTGAAAAGTGCACAGATGCTTGCTGAGATAGCACGCACAACAGATCACGACCAGCACTCTTAAAATCCAAGTCCCACTGTTGCTGCTCCAGGAACCCCCATTTTGAACAAAACTTTTTTTTTATTCCTTTGTACCTCTGAACACGTGACTACTACAACTATTACTATGCAGGGTAGACTACAAGAGCATTGTAAATCACCACTTGCCTCGGCTGACGCAGCCTCCTCATCCGCGATTTCGGCGGCAGACTTGTGTGAGGGCTTCCAGGCGTTCTGTGCCGCATGCAGCTTGACATCCTGGTTGAGCGAGCTCGACAGCGTGATCACCTTCTTGGGCTTGTCCCCACCACGGCCAGGCTGGCTCTGCCTCCGGCCGGGTCCACCACCACCTGATCCAGGGGGCGGCCGTGCCACGCCATTGCGTGCGTACGGAGGCATGAACAAGTGCTCGGGGTGGGCACTGCGACCCATAGCTCCACTGCCACCACCCATGGAAGACTGGCCACCGCTCTGGTATGCACCTGCTCGCGGAACGTCTGGAAGCTTGTGCTGCATAGCCTGCCACAAAAGAAACGACCAAAATATGTGAGCACTAAGTGTGGCGACAATAAGGCTTTTGTAATTCAATTAGAAGTTCCAGCAGCATAACCTTACATGACTCCATGACTGTTCATGACTATCGTTCAGCGACAATGGAAATAACGAGTAGTAGCACATAGGATTTGCCCAGTCTCCGTACTTGCGTGCCACGAACGCACTTACGGCTTCGTTTATTGCTGTTTCGGTTTCATTTCTATTGAAAGAACAATGGTTATAAACTTTGCTGAACTGATTTGGAATTCGCGAGCCTAAAAGGTAAGTGGGGAAGTGCAATTGCTGAACATTAGCCGATTGTAGTTTCGTGACAGAGCCACTTCAAGCTAAACGAAGTTAACCGGAGCTGAAAGTATGAAAATTAAACAAATCTGTGTACTAACCATCACTCCCATGCTTGCTGAATTGCCGTGTGTTGCAGCTCCCACACACACTAGCGCCAGAGTTCCATCTAGTGTAATTGCAGAAAATTCTATGGTGTATGTCTCCTCTTATAAAGGGGTTCAGCTGCATAATGAACACAGGAAATTACACCTGGGACAAGCGCTGCAGTTTCCTGTCCCTTTTAAATCTTGTGTTTTAATCCCCTCTTTCACTATACTCGCATTTCAACAAGTTCATTTCTGCACCCTATCAAGAAGGACTCAACAATGAAACAAAGAGAGATTTTTTCTTTAATTTCTTCGTTAGATGAATAATTCAATTACGGTGTAGTAATTACTATTTGAAATGCAGCTGAACAATGCGCCTCAAGCTGCTGGATGAAACACTGGCAAAGTGAAAGCCGCAGATTCGAATGTGAACACTGCAAACACCAACGAGAGGGTATGTACCGTGTCCTTGATGACATCCAGGTTGGGCAGGCCGAACGGCTTCTTCAGGGACATGGGCTCTCCCTGGAGCATGAGCAAGAACTGCCGATCGTACTGCTTGCGCCCTTCCGGGTTCAGGGGGCTCCACTGGTCCTCGCGATAGCTGTACTTGAGCACGGGGCCCTTGGCATCCCCGCTCTCCTTGCTGCCATTCTCCTCCTCATTTTCCTCTGCGACCTCTTCGCTCACTTCTCCGTCTTCTATGTCCTCTGCCGGACAAGATGTCGGGGCCTCTGACACGTTCTCAATGGCTTCCGCATCGCCCTTCTCCAGTCCGTCGCTCGTGGCGGCAGGGAGTCATGACAGCGGCTTCCCGAGAGACCCTTAGGTTCTCTTCGTTCTTAATTTTCACCGCCTGCAATTTCAACAAACGACTTTTAGAACCTTCGACCCAACTGCACGCAACTCTGCCCCTCAAGTACTTGCACAGCCTTTTTATTTATTGCATGACACTGACGATTGCTAATGTTGAAATTCACTTGAGAAATAAGAATACTTTCCGTCATTCTTTTTCCCCCAGAACATCCTAGCAATCGAACTACATTTCCTGTGATGCGGTCCACACCCTATCAAGAACGAATGAACAATGAAACAAAGGTTTTTTTTTTTTCTTTCGTAAGTCAATTTCTTCCTTAGACGAATAATCATCTTATTATAGTGTAGTAATTACTATATGAAATGCACTGAAAAATGCACCTCAAGTTTGCTGGCTGAAACACTGGCAAAGTGAACGGCCGAAGATTCGTATGTGAACGCTGCGAGCACAAGCAAGATGATAGCCTCTTGCTTGTGCTCGGGGTCCTTGAGACGTCCAGGTTGGGCTTGTGCTCGGGGTCCTTGAAGACGACCAGGTTGGGCAGGCTGAACGAAGCGGCCTGCCCAACAGCGTTCAGCCTGCCCAACACAGTAGAAAGCTAACATCGCATTAAGCAAATAAAGCTAGTTACCCTGTTCACATGTGTAGTTATAGTCCTTTGCATAATCAGGTAATACTGCATTACTTTCTATGCAGTACCCAATTGTAGATTATTACCTGTTCACATACAAGTACACAAGACAGGGAAGTATCTGTTTGCCATTTCCCACTTCTTTCACTCAGCATGCCAGAACCATCCCACAACAATAAGGCACACCACAATGGCAGGCTCTAGAGCATTTATATTCACTCTCATCAAAATGTAGCCACCACTGCTACGAATGCAACAGTAGGAAGAACACTACAGTCAGGTGAAATTTTTAAGAAACAATGTCAGCTCTGCCAACAGCCACTGCAGTCACTTCGATAGAGAATGTGCATAGGTGCTCTAAGAGCGCTCACGAAGTTTTCACAATGTTCTCGTCAATTTCCTAAAATATGCAAACTACCACAATTCCGATACTTTAGGTAGCACAACAAACCTCAAGTAGCTAGCAGTATGCATTGCGTTTACATTAACTAAGTAATTACACTTGAACGGAAGACTGCAAATCTGAGCTGTGCTTACATACAACAGCTGCTAAGCTACAAAATGGGCTCCAACTCCAATGCTAGCTCGCGTTTACAAGGTGTATGAATGTATTGATGGAATAGTGAGCCATTACCATGCAGTACATAATGACACTGCTTTGCGTGCATTGCCACTTGCCTTCCTGTGCTGCTCATCCTCGCCAGCCGAGGAGTCAGTCTGGTCAGGTGATGTGGGCGTGGTGGCCGGAGCAGGTTCCGGTACAGTGGGGGCCGGCTCTGCAGCAGGAGGAGACGTGGGGCCGGCGGCAGCAGGTGTGGCTGCCGCAACCGCCGGGGCTGCAACAGACGCTGGCGGTGCAGGGCTGAGCCTCATCGGGGGTGTGGGTGTCCTGGCTGGGGCCTCAGGAGCCACAGCGGCTGCCACACTTTGCTGGGCTGCCGACTGCTGCAAGGGGTCGGGCGAATGACAAGCGTGTGGCACATCAGATCACTTTGTTCAGCCGCACCTTCGGCCAATTTTATTAAAGATTGTGCAGAGTGCACAGAAGCTTCCAAGAGCTCAGTTTATCAGAGTGTAAAAGCCAGCCCAGCCCGAGCCATACACCTTTCAAAAAATTACGTCATCTTCCAAGCACTATATGCAGGTAATAACTGTTGGAGATTCGCATCCCCAAACCGCGATACGTTGAGGGGCACTTCAGTGGAGAGTTTTGAAATTTTTACCACCTGAGGTTCATTTAAATCTGCATCTAAATCTACTGGTACATTCTGGGACTGCAGAGCCCCACACTCGAACTTAGCGCACTCTTGAAATCCTCCGCTGCACCTCGTTTATCCTTTTCTTGCCCCCAATTGCTCTGGCAAGTGGCTGCATGTTTAGTGCAAACATGCACTCTTTGGCTGGGTTTGTGCCTCCATCAAACCATGTTTGGGCAACACTGTCACATTATTTTACTGAATTTACTGCATTTCAGACATACAGAGAAAACAGTGTACCAGAAATGCACAAAATAGAATTTCTACGTGCCAGCCAATTCCAGTTACCGTGATGACTGGTCATCAGCATCCTTGCCCAAGCTATGCAATTAACTGCAGCTCCCGCCTGCACACTTTATGGTGCCCATTTTGCACAATTGACTAGCAAACTGAGCTGAACACTAGAGCTCAAATGTAAACAGTGTAGAAGGAAAAGGATGCTCCCCCTTTGCTTTGAGCGTACTGACCTCCTCCTTGTCGACAAAGGCATCCATGTCACCACCCTCCTTGTTCTCCCCCTTCTTGTTCCACTCTTTCATCTTCTTCTTCTTGGCAGATTTCCTGCTCTCCCTCGCTGAAAGAAAAACACCTAATCTCAGACACCCATTGATTGAGCAAACTCAAGGTGAGCACAGTTACCCAGCAATCGAAGTTTTCTACGCACAGCATCTGCATTCTGTCACACGAACTCCTCCGAGGAGGAGCAGATTGAGAACTATGTGATGAGCGCTCGATGAGATCGTTGCTTGCAGGTTTTAAAACACGAAGGCAATCTCTGAGCATGGCTGATGCTATCTTTACTAATCTGACCCTATACAAGAGTGGAGCAGTGGCACAGCCTGGGGGTGGTCTATCGGGTGCTTTTGTGAAAAGCATGAATTACACCAAGACCCACTTCAGAAACAAGTTGTAATGCAGAGTCCATATGAAACACATGGCTCAAAATTTGCTCCAGAATAATGCAAGAAGACATTAAGGCAAAGGATGTAAGGTTTATCTATGTGCTAACCGATTAGCTACCAATTCATATTTTAAGGAAAGGTGTCGCATTAATAAGCGGGCTGAGACTATCAAGCAAGTCTTCTGTGACACTCAGGTGCAGCGATGGCCCGTAACAGATGCAGGGCACTCGAGTGTATAAATTTAGCAGACCACATACAACAGCTTATCAGCTGTCCAATGCTACAAGTAACCAAACCATCAAGCTAGTGCAATGCTTTCTTCAAGAAGTCAAAACTGCCCTAAATGTAGTCAGTGGAGAAAGACAACCGACTCCTCCCAACGCTGTTCTGGAAGACGCATAGGGAGAAATGCTTGCCCATGTTGGAACTTCAACTATGCATCTTAATTTCACGTAAAAACGACAGCAATTCAGACACTGCCACTATTGAAAGAAGTGGCCTCTACAAATTACTTATGCTTAATCCAGGAATCCGGTACCAACTTCACACTACGTCGCAACAGCACTTGTTGCAACTGTACAGCACCGGCATTGGATGCAGTACTCTGCGCAATTATACAGAGCAGGACATTAGAATCTGCAGACTAACAAAAACACGAGCATGGAAACGGTGGAATCTCAATACGATGCTTCATGATGATTTTTCAGCTTATTACAAGTTTCTTTTGATTGCCGGCCAATATCCCTTGTACCCGACACATTTATTACTACGACATTTTCGCCCAATATTGGATAACACTACAAGGAGAGTGGACCACAATAGGCAGAACACCGATTATTCATCGAGATACAAGTCAGACTGCAATCCAACAAGCCACAACCTGCATGCTGCAAAGTCGCTGAAGGGCCCAGCAGCGCCGGTTTGGTGGTGCAAACGTTTGCGGCCAGGTGTGGCTGCAGCGTTTGCTGATGATGCATCAGGCCAAGAATACTTTTTCAGAAAATATACTCCTATACATTGAAGAGAAGTGTACGAAGTGTGACCTCTTTTGTTTAGAGGATTTTTGCATGACAAATTTTATTTTCTGGTTTCAGAGAAAACGTATCAATGAGATTTGCATTGAAAAAAGAAGACAACAGCAACATTCCCCCTCCCCCTTAACATTTGTATTGTAAAGTTGAAGCTCGAAAACACCACGCTGCAACCTTGATTTGACGACTATGCGAGGGCTATGCGAGAAATTATGCCTATAAACTTGGTGTCACGATAGTGCAGGCACGGTAATTTGACCAGTAGACCTTTTCCATGAATTCTCACATAAAACGACTCTATTAGCGGTGCCATGCCTTAAATTATGTTCACACAAACTCAGACGTAGAACCGCAAGGGCACGTCAACTATAAAAGCCTACAGGTGACGGTGTCGCACAGATGAAGTACCATAACAGAGTACAAATGCCAAAGTAGTGTGACTGCCAATGTGGGCCGATTATGGAGCGAGTACCAGAAGTATCTCAGCCAGAAAGAAACGCCACGCGTCGCCAGCATCGTGCCAGCAGGGTCAGACGGCCACGTGTCGGATTTGCACACTCCCCCCTCACCCGGTCCTCTTTTTCGGTACTCGCACCCTCCTCTCTCCTGGCAACTCGGCCGAAAGCGAACCCTCGGCGCGATTTCGCGTGTACGACACCCGATCGCATTCCGCCTTTCCGCACAGCGCAAGGCTTCTTTACTCCTATGTCTCTTTAGAACAAGGCTAGTGAATAACAAAAAAACTGGGTGAAGAGAACCCTACGACCCAGACAGACGGAAGGGATTTAGAGTGCGAGAACATATCGACGGCAGACTGACGAGTACTTAGGTCTGGCTGAAACAACAAGTGAAAATTAAAAGTTGGATTCGTTAGCTGAGAACATTCGATGAATTCTTCGAGAAGCCTTAGAAAGGATTAAAAAAAACACGAACTCTCGCAGTATGGGCGTAGCGAGAAGCACCCAGGGTCGCACCCAACGATACGCCCGTGGTGTGAGCAATAAGGCAAACCAGTACTGCCATCCCCCTTCTTAGCTCGCTCTACTACAGACGTCTCTCACAGAGGCACACTAGGGTTAACCGAAGACTCCTCCAAGCCAGAGCCAAAAGTGGAAACGGTGGCTAACCATCAACCAGCTACGAGCGGAAAGAAACGCAGCCGGCAAAGAAAAACACTACGGAGAGGGGGGGGTAGTAGAAAAACAAGTGCGCGGAAGTCAGGTGTGCAAGAACAACTCGACGCAAAGAGGTACCAGCGAAGAGCTGCCTCGTTTATCAGGCGTCATAAAAGCACACAACACGCGACGAGCCACAAGGCGGCGAAGGAGTTAGGGTTGGGTAACGGGACTAAAAAATGAAAAACGAAAACGCAAGCCAGCAGTTATGCAACGCCATGACGCAACGCAACCCAACAGCAGGGACTAGAAGAAGTTTTCTCTCGCTCTTTCTCTCACCTGGCAAGGGCGGGCCGTGCGACGACCCGTTGACGGCACGAGCCGCCGAAGGCGGCCGCGCACTCGCCATCATCGGCGACGGGGTGGCCGACCACGTGCGTCTCCGAAGCTTCCAACGAACGACACTGGAGGGGTGCAAATCCTACGATCCCGGTGTTGTCGGGGAGGGCGCCGGAGACGGGCCGCTCCTTCCTCAGAGTTCAAACACGGACTCCGCCAACATACGCGCAACGAACGGAAGAGGAATCCATCGTCACCAGCGCCGTCTCTGTCTAGTAGTCCTAGCGGAGGCAGCAGTGACGGCCGGAAGACGTTTCGCCGAAACGGCGCACATCGGGCGGGGTTGGGGGGCGACCACCGCGGGGAGCCTCAGCAACGTCGCCCGCCTGTCGCAACGGACGGTGGCGACACGGCACAGCTCATCATTCGCAGAAAAAAACGACCAGCGGCAGCACACTGCCCGAGGTTTTGCTTCGCACACAGAGGCGCGCCGCAAGAAAAAAAAAAAAGTGACCTCGTGGCGCGGCGGACAGCCTCGGCTGCTACCAACTACGCACCGACAAACAGGCGCCCGGCCGAAGAACCGAGGGTCGCGGCATCACGATGGCGTCGAAGGAAAACCCGCTTATCTTCGCACCAAGACCCGCGGACGACTCGCACACAGCCCGACGGCGACCGCGGAGGAGGCGACTCAGAACGCTGGGCAAAACGGCAGGAGGGTCGGTCGTCGGCGTGCCAAGCGGCAGCGGGCCGATGAAGCCAGCGGCAGCCTCTCTCGCAGTCAGACGGGCCGCGGAGAGCGAGAGAACGACAAAAGAAAGAAGAGTGGAAGGGGGCGAAAATTCCCGCGGTGGAGCCTGCCCCTCCTCGACGACAGCCTCCTCCTCTCTCCCTCCGCACCGACGACTCCTTCGGCGCCGGCCGGCGCGCGCACGCACTCGACAAATTTAGAAGCGGCAAAGCGAGCACCGTCCCAGACCAGGAAGGGAAACCCTCTCGGCGGGCCAGCGAGCAAAAACCAGCCCCCCCAGAAAACCACGAACAGAACAAGAAACGAGTGGGCAGCAGCTGCTTCTGCAAGCGGTGTGGCGTTGCAGAGCAAAGCAGCAGCAAGTGCACAACGGGCCGCCGAGGCTCGGCGCAAACGTCGGGTCGTCAAAGTCAGCGCCATGTGCCGCGCGTTTTGCTAGTGTACGACGCGTCTCCGCCGGGGCCACCTACGTAACCGACGAAAATACCGGGGGCGGTTGAAACAAGGTCCGCGCGGTTTTGATGTTTTTATCTGGCTCGCCTTGCTTTCGCCCGAGGCCTGCACAATAGTATTTTTGCGAGGGATCGATCAGTTCGGTAAACGCCTCACGAAAACGGACAATTGGTGTCACTGACCAAAACTATTATTGACTACCGAGATGACCATTATCTGAAGTATTTTTCCCAGAATTTGGGGGCTTCTCACTGAAACTGTTGCACGCCTCAAACACAATCTCGACAAATTGCCTCCATTAAACTGATAACGGCAAGCGAGATAACATGCCCGATTTCAACACGCTAACGTTTTCACTTGCCACTGGTCAAGATGTCCGATTCTTGGCTACTCTTTCACAGCTCAACTTTCACGGCAACATTTTTGTCCCCCTTCGAGGTGAAAATTATCAGTTGTATTTTGGGGTCAAAATGGAAAGCCAAGCCCCCAGAAAAGGCACACTAGTTTCGGTTCCAACGATCCAAGCTTGGCAAGTCTTCGCGCAAAACGTCGTTGACGTTCCCACGACTGTTTCGTCTCGTTGGGAATGATCCAGCGACTGATCAGAATGTTAGGCACATGACGTCATCGCAAATAAGCCCAATTGGTGCGACAAGACGCTGTAGCCTGACGCCTACGATAGTGTCGATGTCAGGAGGTGCGCGCCAGAGGCTCTCAAACCCACTTTCATCAAACTCGGAAAATGTTTTTTGCCAATGAAGAACTGTAACGTCGGACTTGGTAAACATCGATGGCGTTTGGTGCGGGAATGCCAGCTGGCAGTCCATTTAAACATCAACAGTGCGTGGGCAGAGCTACATTTCGCGCGACCCAACCGCCGATCCACGCAAGGCAGACTACTCTACGGCCTCCCATTCATTCGCCGTCCTCGTAAGCCTAACCCACTCTCCTAAGCGTCACCGTACAACGTCACGCCGCCTACGCACGCCCAGTTGCGAGCGTGAGACCGCCGTACCATTCATTTCGAGAACGAGCTAGTGCGTGGGAGGGACACGCATGGAATGCGCCTATAGGGCACCCCCACCACCACTTGTCAAACTGCTGCTGCTGCTGTCCGGCGGAAACACGCCATTGGGAGGCCGAGTGTTTTCGTAGCACTCGGTATCACACGCGCTCACAAAGAGCCCCATTGTCTGTACCGTTGCAGGAGTACAGCAACCGCACGGAGACAGGTTTACGCCGACGAGCAATAAAAACAAATGTTGGACGAATAAGCCTGAATTCAAGGGCGAAGCCCTTTACAGAAACGTATCAGGTGTTCAGCCGTATCGCCCTCTATGGAGTGGGGGGGAGCAGACATGCAGCGAACGGTCGCCTTTGAAGGGACACAAAGAACAAAAAATGATTCGCAATTAACCAAACAGCCTGGCAGGTGTGCACTCGTGCCGTCTTGCTGGGTCGTGATTACACTTTCGACACTCCCAACATCACCCTCCTTTGTCTTAGATGCTTATTAAAGGGACATTGAAACGGGTTTGGAGATGTTGTACAAACAAGTGCTAAGGTAAATTTAGAGACTCATTTGAGCTCTCTGCGTAAACTGCGCCATTTATTACAACGCTTTAAAGCTGCGGATCGCTGCAAATCATTGCGACTCGGCCAAACGCGTTTCAAACCGCCCAGCGAGCGGCGACATGCTCTGGCCACTTAACGACGCCAGAGCACGTCAGCACCCACGTGACCATGGCTGGCGATCTGGTTGGCTGTCATGGGCAGTAGAATGCGCGGAAGCAAGAACGGTTCGTAGGACGGCAGCATCTGTCGGAGCGGACATGAACAACTCCATCAACAATACGCCATATCGGGTTGAAATGTCTTGCGGGAAAGCCATTCACCACCCGCGTAGGAGCAGCGCTTGCGCTTCAGAGCACTAGCATCGCGTTATTTATTTTTTTTTTTTCGCTTACCATTTCACAAGAAGGTATGAGCCAAACTTGGTTGCTCCGGTCACGCCTGCAAACCTCGATTTTTACCTTACGTTCTTGGTATGTAATAATGAAAGAAAGCGCGTCGGTTCGTTTGAGGGCAGGGAAGCTAGCAGCAAGATAAAATTTGAGAAGCGATTGAGAGAAATGGGGGAAGAGCGTTGGGCTAGGAAGGTTTTCAGCTACTTGTACATGAAGAATGTCGATACAAAATGGAGGAAGCGAACCAGGAAGTTGACTGGTAAATACTTAGAAAACAGCAGGTGGCCAAACCGAAAAGAACTATCGGTTAAGAGGAAAGTGAAGGAAACTGAGACTGACACACTCTAAAAAAAAAAGGGAGCGAGAATGGAGAAACGGGCTCCGTTCCTCCTTCGGCGCAGCGACTTCCTCCCTTTCGGGCGCTTTACCCGTCGCGCCCTCTCGCGGCAAGGACCAAAGGAGCAACGTTCGTCCTTCAGCGTTCAAGTTTCTCCTCAATCACGGGGGTCTTGCTCGCGCGAATGCGCACGCCAAGCCTATAGCCGGCCGCGGCCAGTCGCGAGCGATTTCTTTTACCTAAGATTGTTGTAAGCAATGCAGGAGTGACGTTTTCTTTTGTTTTATTAGTGTAGAGTAAAAGCCTCTCTTTTTTTATCGTCAGGCACTCGCACGATGCTCCGCACACTTCCATGTGTGTCTCGTGTTGTTTCATACGACCAATTTGTCACGAATACAAAAAGCTCTGCTTCCCAAGCAGTCTTGCTTTATCGATTACCTTAGAGTGTAAAAAAATAATGATTTTTTTCGGTGTCGACATACGTGGTAAGCCCACGCATTTTTAGTTTCGCACGGCACCAACAGCACTCGTGAATTCAAAGAGGCGCGTAAAAAAGCATCACACTTTTCATCATTCTGGGAAACCTGATACCACTGTACACTCCATGCATGAAAGTACGATCATATACAATTGATAGAGTTATACGTGCCACTACCGCCATATGGATGTTCTTTGCAGTTTACCCCCATTCGAACACGGCCGCCGTGGCCGGAAGTCGAACCTGCGTCCTCCAGCATAGTCACACGACACCCAATAAGGCTACGCTACCACGGCAGGTGAAAGCACAAAGGGAAACAGGCTGCGAAGTTTCACCGAGTGTTTATTCGCCAGGCTAGGTTACAACCATCAGAAACTTTTTAAACATCAACATAACTAAACTTTTGTGAAAAGTGAACCAATGACTTCTGTAGGTTAAACCAAATTCTGAATCGCATTCGTTTTGAATTGCCCATGCCAGCACTGAGAAGTAGGAAGGAATTATGCACGCGTGCAGTATGCCTTTCTCGTCCATGATTCTCCTTTGTCGTGAGAAACTCAACACAAAATGCACTTCTAGTAACAGCTGTGCACAGCAAGTAAGTACTAACGCTCACTCACCTTTGTGAAAAGAGTATTCCGAATCCAGAGTAATAACCACCACAGCCGCAGCGCTAACAACAAAATTGTGGCACGCACTATGATTGCCAGTTGACTCGCGAGGCGAATCGCGAGAGGCATCTGAAGCAGAGGCATCTGCTCTGAGGCATATGCATATGCAGAGGCATCTGCATCTGAAGCGAGAGGCATCTGAAATTATAGTAAACTTGCGCACTGCAGCGATAGTTCCTCCACTGAAGTATTAGAGCTGCTGCGACGCCGACAGCCACTGTCATAGCTCACGAAAAAATACCGTCGGATGCGAGGTCATCGCTTATTTCTCTCGCTAGACCCGCGTTGTAACGTACGTATGCACTGCTAGGACGGTCGTTACCGCATCAAAAACCTTGTCATTGAAGGGCTAGTGGTGTACTGTATCCATGGCTAACGGTCACACTTGTGGTACGCACGTAAAAAGAATATAAGCAAACGTTAAGACGAAGCAACTAAACGAGGTCGACGTGACCACAGAACACCTACCACGACGGAGACAAAGTTTGGTCCGCATGCTGCGCCCTCTCTAAGTAACAAGAAAAAGAAACGTGACCTCCAAAATGGCTAACGCGCAGCAAGTGTTTGCACTCTCGAAGGCTTCAAGAAAAAAAAATAACTGTGGCAGTGGTCAACAGATGGCGCAGCGTTCGGAATGCCGTGGGCAACTATGCAAGGCTTGGGGGTATCCGCCTTCGTGAAAACCTGATAAGCTCTAGTAATTATTCCGTTCATTATTGTGCAACCATTAATAAACTCGCGTTTCTCTTAGCATCAGATACAATATATTTACGTGTGCGCATGTTGTGGTATTGATACGAAACGTAAAAAAAGTGTAAGAAAACCTACTTGTAACCTGTGCCACTATGGTCAGTCGAAATTCATTGCTATATAAGCTGGCGCGCTTTCATAGTATGGTGTGAGTAAACACGTCGTAGTGTTATTCGTTGCTGTGAGTGGTTGATTGTGCTCTTGTTGTGTACTTCTTAGCATATATGATAGCGTATATTTGTTGCGTACTGTATGTGCAGTATGTGTCCATGCGTGCATGTGTAGTTATATGCATTGCACCAGCGCATATTTAGGCTTCCGGTGTCAGTGACAGTAATCCTCAATGGGCAGTGACGTAAAAAATCCTGAATGGGCTGAGGCGTAAACAGTCCGCAAGGGAGCCGTGAAAGTGGGTATGACTCGCGGCAGGCAAATTTTTTTTTTTAGTTTTGTTCAGTCCCTCCAGATGGCGCCAGCTACCACCTACTTCACGGTTATGACGCTCTCACACCTCCAGCTACTTATATAACGTTGAACATCTGTCTATCAAAGCTGCAATACTGAGTCGGAATGGTTTCGCTGCGATCGAGTCTACCGTTTGGAGGCACATCTCGTGATCTGTGGACCGGTAAACGCATGGATAACCTCGCTACGCTACACTATGTGAATCTGCGAGAAATAAATACAGCATGCCTAGCATGCACTCTTCAGGTGAGGGCTCTGCAGTATATATCCGTGTCTATCGGAGTGAACGTGGCTTCTCTGACCGAACGAAACGTACTTGCTCCGTCGTTCTCTTTCGCGATGTGTTCACCGCCACAGGTTCGTCTGCTTGTTTTTATAATAATTTCGTGCAATATCAAGCTCAGCGGGACCGTTTTTTGTAACTTTCAGTGCCGTGTACTCCTTATCAGTCGAGAATCGTTGCATTTGCTAAGCCTACTCGCTTCGCCGGGGGGCAGCCATGATGATTTTCATAAGGAGGAACGTGTTTCTCCGTGGATAAGGGAGCAACGTTTCTCTATTTAAAGACGAACGTTGGGGACATCGCCGTTTCTCCCTAATTGGAGAGAACGTCACTCCATTTTTTTTAAGAGTGCATGTGGAGAATGGGCATGATTAAGAAGTCCGCACTAGAAATCTATCGAACTTTCAAGCAGGAAATTGCCAAGGAAAGGATCTATGATAATACTCGGGGTAGTTCCCTACTGTTCGAAGCCGGGACGGAAGTATTGCAAACCAAGACATACCGGGCCAAATACGAAGGGGTAGACACGGTATGCAGTGCATGTGGAGAGGAGGAGCAAACCGCCGAACACTTGATGTTCTGTAAAGGGTTTCACCCTTTCAGGATGATGGCGCAGAGTCTTTCAAAGCACTGGGGTTTAGGGACAGGGAAGACAAAATAGACTTCAAGCGGGTAGAATTAACTAGAAGCAGGTTATCTGATTGGTGGCTAAAGTCAAGGCACGAGTGAAAATTAAACCCTTCACTACAAAGTACTAGTCCTCAACTTCACTATTTAAAGGGGAAAAAAAAAAGAAACCTAGTGGTTAGTTCACTAAGTATTACGGCTACGTGCCGTTAGCCACCGCCCGATCTAAAGGGTACAGCCACATCCATCCATCCGCTGAACCGAGCGGTGATCAGAAGAGTGGCTCAACTCTGCTACTTTTTGCCACAGTATGCCTGTCAACACGAGAACCGCGCTTGTCCTCCCTACGTGCCCAGCTTATGTCCATTTTTTTCTTAATTTCAACTATGATATCCTTAACCGCGGTTTCTTCCCTGACCCACTGTACTCTTCTTGTCTCTCAAAGTTACACCCATCATTTTCTTTTCCATCGCTTGCTGCGTCGTCCTCGATTTAAGCTGAACTCTCTTTGCAAGCCTCCAGGTTTCTGCTCCATAGGTGAGTACTGGCAAGATGCAGCTTTTATATACCTTCCTCTAGAGGGTCAGCGGCAGATTACCATTCATAATTTGAGAATGCTTGCCGAATGTGATCCACCCTACCCCTATTTTCCTAGTTATGTAATGTAATGTAATGGTTCAGCTCCGTGGTTACTACATGTTCTAAGTAAAAAAAGGCGCAGTACGCTTGTTACAGGCATTATTACAGGCAATATTTGATGTGTTGTGAAGCATGTATACAGGACACGTGTGATTGTAAACCATGAAAGTTACTTTAACTGCATTCTAAGCAGATTTCACTGCATTTCTAAGCACTGCATTTCCACTAAGACCCAGAATTTTTCATTTATTTTATTATTCGCATCTTTTTCGATTTTTCGGTCACAACCAACGACGCCAACAACGTAATTTTAGCGAAACGAGCTCCTTGAAACCATGGCCTCCGAGATTGCGGGCGCACGCCGGGTTTATTTCCGGCCGTCCCATTCGCACCTAGAGCGCGTTTCGGGAGGTGGGCGTGGCTCCCTCTTTTCTCCGCACCATGGCGCTCTTTCGGTTTCTTTCAAGTAAGTTAAGAGAGCCATAGCAAAACGAAGCCTCTAGGGGACACAGAAGTGCTAAGCAGCGAGTGAACCAACAGATGATTGAAATAAAATGAGATAGAAAACCAGCTGCAAAATTTTGAAACCATCTATGCTCCC